GGCCCACGCTCCCGACGAGTGTCTTCGTCCCAATTGTTCTTGGGACGAAGGCAGTCAGTTAAAACGTGCGGTGTCCGTCATAAAGCCTGCACGCCATAGGGTATCACTCGCCGTTACTCATCAGCCCGAGCAGCCACCGCGCCGAGTTTGCCGGCGTGGCGCGAACGGAGAACGATCGAGGAAAGGCCCACCCTTCTTGTGGGGTGCCCCAGAAAGCTTTGCACGTTTGGTTTGGCGCTGGAGTTTGGACATTCCTGCGAGGTCCGTGACAGGCTGCCGTTCCACTCTACTTCGCCTACGCCATAGAAACACCCAGCTTCGCTGCTTCTTAAGCTTTACAAGGCTACAGTGTGCAAACCTCCCCACCCCCCTCCTTTTTTTAAAATTATATTCAAGAGATACACGAGTATGACTAATCTGTCAAGCAGCCCGTCTGGTCACCACGTGTTTAATCCAAACCGGGAGCCGGATAACAGTCATTCTGGAGTTCGGTGTCACATATGCTTTTCGAAAGCTAACGTCCAATCCCGACTAGGAATGAGCCCTGTGAGGAGCTAAATCTCGTGACCGCGACCCGCCAGCTGAGGCGACTTGAAAGGGACACTATAGAGAAACAACGACCAGATCTGGATTGACAAGCAGCACTCTGAGAACCCTGCTGCAACATGTTTCACTATCATAAGTTCATTGTAAGCGGAGATAATCAAAGTTGAAGTTCAATTTTTAATTATCGCATTTTTTGTAGTTTCGCCACACGTACTAGCTTGATTAAATCTTCTGAAACTCCGTACCCTAGATCTATGGCACCCACAGATGACAATGTAGTTCATTTTTATCGATTAGAAGCTATGAAGGACCCACTAGACGGTTTCAAAATCCATGACGCCACGGTGTTTGGTGCGGAACCTTCGAAGTGTCGTCCCCCAGTGCGTTTTCTTTGCGCGCGTTTTCTTGCTTACCAAGCACCATCTCGCGGTGAAGTGGTGTTTTCGAGATTGTGAAATTGCGCTTTACGAATACGCGAGAAATCGCCGTTTTCCTTAGTGCCCCCCTCAGAACACCTGCTGAAATTAATGCGGCCGAAAAGCACGAAAATGTACGCTTTTTCACCGTGGCAGCTACGGGGAAGCAATGAAAAATGAATATTATCGTAGAAGAAAAAAATTAGCACGCTATACAATTCAATCAGAGAGGTTGATTTGATTGATTGATATGTGGGGTTTAACATCCCAAAACCACCATATGATTATGAGAGACGCCGTAGTGGAGGGCTCCGGAAATTTCGACCACCTGGGGTTCTTTAACGTGCACCCAAATCTGAGCACACGGGCCTACAACATTTCCGCCTCCATCGGAAATGCAGCCGCCGCAGCCGGGATTCAATCAGAGAGGCTAACAAGCGAGAAAACAATTAATGGGGCTGAAATTGCGCCAGCAGACGTCTCGCATGCTGCAAGTATTATTAATATCATTAGATCCTTATCTTCATTTTCGTCACCAGTTGTCAAATAAGTCCGATCACCGAATGGCACGAAATCATTTGCAAGAGCGCCCCAACAAATAGTAAATGTAGCGAATTTAACGCAACACCTCAGCCCTTTTAATATTCCCTATATCCACCTTCCATCGGCGCAGTGAAGATATACATGGCATCACGAGAGTAGAGTTGCACGCGGCTCCGCTACCTTGCGCGCTGTGGCATCCACGTCATAGGTAGAAAAGCCACTGCTCACGAGAGTAGGAGCCGACGTGACTCAGCAGTCCCACGTGATTTATCGCTCCGTTATGTAATAGTAGCGGTTAAAGTTTTGCGTGCCAGAACGCCGATACGATTATGAGGGACGCCGTTAATACAGGAGTGCGGATATTTCGATTACTTCGTGTATTTTATCGCACACTGACATCACACCGAACACGGGACTCTATAGTATTTCACCTCCATGGAATTTCGACCGCCACGGCCGGGGCCGAACCCTCGACCTTAAGGTCAGCAGCTGGGCGCCGTATACCCGCTCCACCAAGACGGCAGACTGTTAAAGGTTTACTTCAACAATTACTGTTGCGTACGTCGCAGAAGGACTCCGCAAATACCCCCCCCCCCTTTTTTTTTAGAGGGTATTACGTAGAACAGTTATTCTCGCACGAGCACAATAGGAACCAATAGTTCCAGAGCGTACGCGTAACTCTGGCGTAATAATGACGGTAGGAATGAAGAACGCAAAAACAACGTCAGCGGTCTCTGCTAGAGTGTCGGCAGACGTATAGGGTATACGCGTCCGGCGCAGTTTTCTACTCGAAGCGGGTCGGTCGGACGTCGACAACTGTAATCCCCTGTTTTCGGCGAAACAAAGGGAGAGCACACGAACGTAGGAACAATCAGCGCTGACTTGGCAGCCGAGCCACTCCGTCACAGCGAGCAGGTGAGCGCGCCATTTTCGTCGCCGGTGGCGCTTAATGCCCGGAGAGGAGAAACCGGAGTCGCATTCAGAAGAGGCGACGATAGGGCCGCCGGAGGGATCGCATCCGTTGCCCGCGGAATCTTACGTAGCGATATCGTGTATAGCAGAAACTTTACTGCCGTGCGCGGTGCGATTCGGCTAAGAAAAGAGCAAACAGCGTGTTCGCTGGATCTGAACGAAGTTAATTCAATATCATCATATCGTCACAGCCGCCGAAGCAGCAACGAACAACGAAAGACGGCTGGGACGCCATGGATACTTCTACAGGGCATCGAAGAAGCGCGCACAGAATTTCAGAACGAATCACGCAGAATCCGAGTACGGCCCCCACCCCACTTGCATCAGATCACGAGACAAGTACGGGCGTATTTCGCTTAGGCACAGATCAAATTTTCACAGCATAAGAAAGCTCAGAATAACTGTTAGGATTCTGCGACCCAACGCCACGGTAGCATTATGATGGTCGCCGTGGTAGAGGGGTCCAGAAATTTCGACCATATGGCGTTCTTTAGCATGCACGGACATCGCATGGTGCACGCACGGGCCTCGGACATTTCGCCTGCAGCGAAATGCGGCCGCCAATGCCGTGGGATGGAATCCCGCGACCTTCGTCTCAGCAGTCGGGCACCAAGTATAATCACAAGGCCACCGTGACGGGTGAGAAACATCTTGAAACGAATAAACAGTTATCTTGCTTCTCACTCGCAACGAATGTAAAACAAGAATACAGTATTGCTCCTTCGTTTTCTAAGCCAACAATTGATTCTTCGTTCAGGGCGCTTTCCCGCAGACTACAGCCGCATTACAAGGCAGCAGTGATCTTCGATTTGAAGAACAATCGGACCGCGATCACGAATGCTTGATCGCCTTGTAGAGCCTCCACCGATTATGCTGCTGGTCATTCCAAACAAGTTTCTTCGAGGAGCCCAACTCTTCAGACTGGAGTAGCCTTCACGAACGCTCCTCCAAACCTCGGGCCCGCGTGAGGTGTCTTCACTGACGCTTTGCACGAAGCGTGAACGCGACGACCAGCCAATAAAATCGTGATTCAGAGTTACGAGTAACCCGAGATATCTCAAATAACACGCATTTCAAGAAATGCAAGAAGACTTCTCAGTCAGTCGCGCTTGCCTTACAATAAATGACTGGATCAGTTTGATTTCAATTCACTTTATTTAAATATTCTTACAGAAGGGCGTGAAATAGAAGAAAGCAGCATTCGGAGAGCAAGTCAGTAGGTGACTCTACTAAACAATGATTGCTAATTGTCTGAAACAGACAAAAGTACCAACACTTACCTGTGAGCAGCTCTCAGTGGGCAGTCTCAGTAATAGGCTAAGTTTGGAATAATCACAAAAAATAGCAGCCGACAACTTGTTATACATAAAGAAGGGAATACATCCACCCATTTGTGGTGCGAATCTACAAGAAAATATGTATGTATTTCTCAAGAAAAAAAAAAAGCTTTTTAGTTGCCAAAAAAGTTCAGCAATTCAGAAGCTTTTCTTTCTGAGATATTCCCACTGATTTCCTAGTGGCTTCATGCCACAAACGAGTGGATGCCTTCTTTTCCTTTCTTAACCCTTCTGCCACATTTTGGGGTTTCCACAAAACTCATTTGCAACTTGTGATACAATAAAGAGATCACCGAAAACACATTCACTGTCAACAAGACCCACATGACACTAAAAAGAGCTGGTGTAGCCTGTCTAAAACGAAATATTCGTATTGAAAGAGATACAGTCTTTTTTAGAAGGAACATAAACTGGGGTTCACTAGGGAGTTGCAGTGAATAAATAAAAAAAAGCATGTATATAATTTATATGTTCACACCTCCTATATGACATGACCCCCTAGTATTTGTTATAAAGGTAGGAATCATCTATTTACAATTTTTTCTCATATAAATGATGGTGAATAAACAATATGCTGATAAAACATGAAAAGTAAATGTAAAGAAATTTCACTATGCTTCTCGCAGTAGTTTAGCCTCTCGTAACAGCACAGCTATAGTCTTAGATGTCGGAGTACTCAATTATACTGGTCTACATTCGGCGGTTTTACTGTTGTAAAATGAAACACACAAATAAAACTTTTTTTTTCATTAAGATCTGAGCCTTTGCTGGAAAGCTCTTTTCAACTAAAGTGCTTATCGTGGCAGAGCGCCATTCTTAGAAATCCAAATGAGTCATCGCTAATTGTCCCTAACATGACAATATTTCTATTTTCTTTGATACAGAACAAGTGATTAAGCCCAAGTCAGCCGTTTATCAGGCGCTCGTATATCAACGACACATGAGTCTTGTTTTCCATGCATCAGTCGCTACTTTGTGAATTATCAATTTGCAAAGCGATCGCCGTGCACCGAGCGTAAAGTACACGCCAACAATATTTCCCACAAAGGAGACCATCCTATGCACTGCCTCTTATCGTTCTGAAAAAAAAATTCTGCACGCTCGTGAAATCTGGTTTTGCTGTGCCATGCGGCAATGCCAAAAACTAAGCTGTGGGAAGGAAGCCAAGAAAGAGAGGGTTACTGACCTTCGCCTCGAGAAGGTCGTGACTCTGCTTGAGCTCAGAGCGCTCCTTCTCGAGCTTCTCAACCTTAGCCTTGAGCTGCTCAACTTCCTCCTACAGGAGAGAGAGAGAGAGAAGGAAAGGGAGATAGATACTTCAATGCAAGGAAAGCAGAGAGGTCGACTGTGTTTGCTCTGTCTCTGACCTGCTGCTGTACTCTGCGTAAGGAAAATAAAGCTTCGACAGAGAGCGAGTGTGCAAATAAGGATGACCGCGTGTAGCTCATTATAGATCTACATACGGGTCCACTTTTAAGGAGAGCGCGTGCGTACTAGGACATGTCCAAACTTCACTCTCTTGCGAAAGCATAGTGGATTTCCGCAAAACTGCTTGCGTTTGACAGCATTGACTCCTTCCGATAAACTACTGTGGTTCAGGAACAATATTTACACACCCACTTACAGTTAGTGAGCCCAGCTTCACTGCTGCCAGCTAAAAAAAAAACGGTCTCGTGGTTAGCTTAAATGTGCACCTGCAGAAAAGGGAAAATACGACGTGCTTTACTGAAACGCAACAGTGGGACGCAGGCAGCATATAGCAGGCGTCTCACAACACAATTTACCCATTATTTCTGAAAAAAATATAATGAAGGGCGGTCTGACGGAACTCTAGATGTATTCAAACCTGCAACTGACGGTTGCTCCGGTAATTTTTGCCCACTTGCACTGCTGGCTGAGGAGTTCTTGCCTGCAATGCCTCCTTCCTAAAGTTAGTTTGAAAACTTCGATGAGTATATTTTTCAGCCAGAACAAATAGCGAATTCCGAGTCATTGGCTATTGTTTACTTTATATTTTGCCAGAAATAATTGGCCGATGGTCGCATAAGGCACGCAGACTCTGCGAAAAGCAAGTGCCATGTTGCCCGCATATCACCACTGTACTGCAGTGAAGCACTCATTTTCCGCAGGCGAGCGCTAATCACAAGACCCCCCCCCCCCCCGCTTTTTTTTTTATTGCGATAGCAATTATATGAACACTCTCGGCTGGATTTTGCCGCCGGCGTCAACGTCATTGTCACTCACTGTATATATATACGTATCTATATAAATGAAAGCGCAAGAAAGAAAAAAATAGTCCAGAAAAATACTCTGGCGCACGGAATCGAACGTGGTACCTCTGAATTGTGAGTGCGAGGCATTAACCACTGAACCACGAGGGAGCAACATCTTCATTGTTAAAACGGCAAGCTATTTATAGCTACCAATTACCGCTGGTGACGGGCATCTCGAGGGGAACTATTGTGTTTTCAGCATTACTGGCAAGATGGCGCAATGATATCGCGTCGCCAGATCGTCCTGACGCGGCGGCGCGCTCTTATCTTCCACGCGTACTTTCCACGCGGAGAGGGGGCAGGGTGGCTTATCGCGCAGTGGGGACAAACGTACGTACTTGCTGGTCTTGGGCTTTCACCCGAACGATTCTGTTGTAGTTACCAGTCGCACAAAGGTCACTGCTATCATTGCACAATCTCTGTTTGCGAAAAGGGCACGCTTTTCAGACACAGTGATGTAACAACCTAGACGCTTATTCGCGTTCATCTGTGCCTGTGAGCAAGTTTTGTGCGTCATTTGTGCAGGAGCAACACAGGGCATTCTCCTGCTATCACGTTCATTGCTGCACCTTTGCAGCAAAGCTGTGACTTTCTTTTTAAATGCAAAACATTTGTTAGCAAACTTTGGCGACTTTGATCCTATCTATCTATCTACCCATCTAGCCGCCTACGAATTTTAGCTTTCCTGGCCGTTTGGATATTGGGATCTATAGCAAAAGCTGTAACATGACTCTACGATGAGCATAAGTGACTAATCACCACATAAAAATCGTGACTTGTATGTCTCAAATGTCATGATTTACATGTCATGGTCTTGCTGCTCCTGTGGTGGTTTTGTTCAAATGACATATTTCAAAACTGGTATGCTATCACACGACTACATGGCATAGTGACAGGCCTACATGTAGAAATCATGACATGCACGTCATGTAAAACATGACTACATGCCATGCTCATAGAGCACTAGCGCCTATTTCACCAGCTTCACATGTACCAAACTTTGTATTACGTGACATGAATCGATGACGAAGGTACATGACTAGTGCAAGCATGACGATCATGATATTCATGTTATTTAAGAACATGATTACATGTCATGCTCATGATGCGCTTCTGGTCATTCCGCTAGCTTCAAATGTGCCTAATTTGGTGTTATGTGACGTGAATGAATGACGAAGGTATATGAATTGTGCAAACATGATAATCATGACATGCATGTCATGTAAGACAATGGCTCCATGCCACACTAATCATGCATTCGAGGCCGTTTCACCAGCTTCGCATAGGTATATACCAAACTTGGTGTTACATGACGTGAATGGATGACGAAGGTAAACGACACGTCCAAACATGACAATCATGATATGCCTGTCACGTAAAACATGATTACACGCTACGCTCATAGCACACTCGTGGCCGCTTTGCTAGGTTCACATATACCAAGATAGGTATTACGTGACATGAATGGACGAGGAACACAAACACCAGGCGCAAACGTCCTAACCATGACATGAAGGTCATGTGCGATATAATTTACAGTCGCCTCGTAACATCGTCCTGATTTTATAATGACATATCAACCTTTCTCACTCGTGCTTTGCATATCTTCGATTCCCACTGTATGTGGGATCTGCCAATTTTTTTTATTGTACACTCTCCGCTTGTTTGTTGCCATCGCCGTCATGCCTCCTATATGTATCTATTTATGTAAGCCACAAATAAAAATAATTCAGATGACTAGCAGTTGTTCCATGTACGCATACAACCGATGAGCGAAGCTCTTTAAAAATGGGACTCGGACGACTATGTGCCTGATCTGGCTGGTGGCTTTCACCAAGGCGGTAAGGTGTGGAGCCGTTGGGGAGAGAGTGCATGCGAGTCATCCCAGGCAACGGACCAATTGCTGGGCGGACGACAGGAAGAAGCGATGGTTTCGCGCATACGCAGGTTTGAGTACAGAGGGCAGAGACAAAGAATGAGGGAGACAGATGGGAGAGGAGTGCGAGCGCACTTTGGCGCGCTTGTCTGTCGACGGCGCAGTGGTTTGACATTGATGGATCATTTCAGTGTCTTTTTTGCATCGGCGCCACATCTATGTTGCAGGTAGCTTCGCCCGGCGACGGCAGATTGCGGGCCTTTAATAGTATCGCTCCTATAAGTGTTTCTGACGCATGTAATCAGACGAGAGACCTCTAGCTTCATTAATATAAATTAATTAGGCATTAAATTAGGCATTAATTGTTGCACCACAGAAGCGGACGTCCTTCAACGACCAAACAGCAAGCCATTTATAAATACCACTTTCTACTGGCGGTGCCGAACTCAGTGAAAATAGCGTGTTATTCTAAGCATTATCAGCGACGTGCATTCATGCGCTATCTCTCCCACACCTACTTTGCCCTGCAGAGGGTAGATGGCCGTGCACGTGCGTTTATCTAGCGGAAGGGGAGAAGTGTACGCCTTGGACTTTCGCCAGAACAATTGCGTTGTAGTTATCGAGTGCCCGAAGATATCTTGTCTTGCTACACAGACAACATTTGCAAAAAGAGCACACTTATCAGACACAGGGAAGTAACAACTGTGCCACTTGTTAGTTCACGCTCATCCTGTCTGCACCTGTGAGTATGTTTCGTGCGTCGTATTTGTTTGGGCAGTGCAATAAGTGTTGGGATGTGAACGTTGTTAGTCCTGTGTGTGCTATTTTAACGCGATAGCATTAAAGAGCTTGTTTCGCAGAAATTCCGGCCTCGGTGATGTGGGTTGTGAGCGAAAAATTATCACCGAAATATCGAGAACAATACGAATAGCATTATAGATAAAAAATTTTGGGTAAGAGTGGGGACCAAACCAGCGTCGTTTGGGTCTGATAAGGGATCAAACCCGGGTCGTTGACATGAAAAACAAATGTTCTGCCACACAGCCAAGCGTCTGCTTGTGAATACGGTGAAAAGTACTTTCTCTGTTTGGAAATGCAGTGAAAGTAACCTTCATGCTTTACAAACACTTGTGTCCAGTACACTTTTTTCACAATGCAACATAAACTATTGTAGCATTAATGCAAGTTAGAAGTGTCCATTGTTAGCGGGCGTCAGAACATGTGATTATCATAATGACTTCGTAGTTTAAAGCTGGTCACCCACTTTTTCGGAAAAGCTAGACATGCTACTGTGCACATTCTCTTAAGGCCACTTAGGGTGTCCTAATTTTTCAAGCATCATTTGTGCACGTGCAATGCACTGCACATTTACATTTGATTGCTGTTCTTCACGTGACATTCGAGTTTGTTACTATCAAATTCATTGCATCACCCTTGCAACGAAACTGTGACTTCATTTCTTTTTTTTTTTGTTTTGCAGGCAGAGCGAAACCCTCCATTTCCCATGTTTGCGACAGAATAGACAGTACCAGGGTACATCACAGCGTGACGTGACTGGCTTGTGTGCAATGCAACAGTTGATGAAACACCCCCACTGGTAGCTGAGCGTGGCACAGTTGTGCTGCGCTTGGGACAAGTTTTTAAGAGTGACTGTCCTCTTAACCCAACTTTGTCCTGCGTCAGGCCCAACCGGCCAGACGGACAAACAGACAGCTGGACAGGATGAGCAGATAGACGGACGAATGGACGGACAGACAGACAGATACACGGAGAGAAGAACACAGACAGACACACAGGCAGGCAGACAGACAGACAGACAGACAGACAGACAGACACACAGGCAGATGGACAGACAGACACGCAGATAGACGGACAGACAGGCGGACAAACAGACAGCCACACAAACTAATAGATAAACAGATATACGTACAAACAGACAGGCGAGAGACTGATGGACACAGACACACGGGCAGATGGACAAATAGGCATACAGATAGACAGACCAAGGAACAGACAGACAGACTAGAATTGACAGACAGACATGTGTTCAGAAAGATATATGGATGGACAGCCAGACATATACACGTAGACAGACAGATCAACGGACAGACAGACAGAGAGAGGCAC